GACTTAGAAGGCTGCCGGCGTATATTTGATTTCCATTCGGCAAGATTCGCCAGGCAGTCGTTCAAAGAAACCGTGTCCCACGGGTGAGATCCGCGATTCCAGCTAATCGGATCAACCGGCGACGCTTTCATTCTATTTCTTTATTGCTCGGCTCGCGGTTCGTTTACGGCGACACCGAGAGAACGGGCGGACGCGCCCGTATAATTAGAGTACGACTGAGAAAGTTGAAATCGAGGAAAGAATGGGTGAAAATGATCGTGTCGCGGCGCTGTCCGCGTTATTAATCCACGTCGCGGTGTAAGTCGCGCTGGAATGCCACGCGACGTGCCTGGGCCAAGCCGTGTCCCGCACTTTTCAGCAACGGGCAGCAATCCTTTGATCCGCAGGAGATTATCTCGCTGGAATCCAGCTTACGTCGGACGAGTTTGAGACCCCATCACGGTTTCCCGCGGCCGCGGATAAGCGGCGTGGAAACGGTAAAAACCAAGGGAGACGGGGAGCAGCCGAGGAAAAATAAATTTTTCAAGGGATAGCAGCAAGAAACTCGTGCGCGAACGTGCCCGTCGTACGATGAGAACCGTGTGAACTCGCCGTTAATCGATTCGCGGTGAAATTTTTGGGGAACTGGTTGGTGACCAGCGTGGGTATTAGATAAACCAATTGAAATCTTGATCGAGACAATGAAATTGCATACTGTATATTCTCTTATGTTGTGTATCGTAAAGCAGATAGAATGGAAACAATGAATTGCAAGTAAACGGAATTCGCGTTTTAGAATGGGTAAATCTTCGGACTTAAATGTCAGAAAATTGTTGAGTTTGACAAGGTTTGTGTACTAACACGGGAAACAATCGGTAAATATTAATGAGTTAAAACTCATTGTGGAGGAGTAAGAGAAACGAAGCTAAAAACTTATAATACTTATAATGTTTATAAAAGCATTACGGAAGAATGTGTATAAGAAGGATTTTGTATAATTCCTTTAATACAAAGAAATTTATTAATTTTTAGAGTGTGCTATCCTTTTGTCCCGAAGTGTATGTTCAGGAATTTAACTGCTCTAGATATAACAGAATGGTATGCTCGGAATCGCACGAAATGCACGTCAATTGATTTATGATCAATATTGAAATAAATTGATTTACTAAAGTGCGTTCTACAGTACAAGACGACTGAAATCTGATTAAGTGCGCTATTGTAATTCATATAAGAAAGTACATGTTAGGCAATCTGATTGCTCTAATTCTAGCATTATTGTACCCCGAATGTTTTAACCCTTTGCACCTCGAATTTCTTTCGCATTCTTCCCCCGATGACTGTATTATTACGATATTTGATTTGAAATGCATTTTAAAAAATAATTAGTATGTAGAGAGCAGTGTAAACGATTCTTCTTACTAATAATATTCAAAATAACATAATAACATAATCTATTTTAAAAATATCTTGACAAAGAATCACACCTGTAAATAAAACTGAATCAAACTGATGTCAAGTCACGCTCTACACAGGAGTGCGAAGGGTTAACAAATGTCATAAATCCCTTTCAAACTGATTCGCTATCTGTCGGATCTATAACAGGAATATGCTGATGTTACAAGATTGACTTCGAAACGATCGACATTGAATTTTCTTTTCCACTGATCCCGAATAATTCGATTTCCTTCGCAGACGCAGCAAGTATTTTTGGGTCTCTGTTTGCCGGCCACATGCGACAGGACTTCCTTGACCTCGTTGCTGAGAGCGAGCGCGGATCGAGTCGAACGCGAGGGCAATTCGACCTATCGATCTACCGGCCCTAAGATTCCGATCGTCGAAGTGAAGCCTGTGCCTTCCAGCGATTACAATTGCTGGCGCGATCCCAAGCTGTATATCCTACTGTAAGTAACGCATGAAGTATTGTCCACCGGACATCCTCGCGAGCCGGCCATGCGAACGTTGTTCGTCTTGCCAATGAATCAACGTTACCGAGTCAAAACATTTCATTAGTCATACGGTGAATAATAATGTCCATTGCTCGAATAACGAAAATCAGTGTATCAACGAATCGATAAAGGTGAGTAGTCCCTATTTCTCTAGCAAAAATTAAGGAATCAATGAATAATCGAGCAATTGATAATACAATATTTAATTCAATCGGACTACAATTACGATAATTGTATACGAATAATTTGTATTTTCCTAGTAACGAATATTAATCAACCAACAAACTAATGATACAACCAATTAATAATACATCACTGAATTCCTCCGAACTACAATTATGGTAATTATACTTTGATAGTCTCTGTTCCCGTAATAACAAACGTCAATGAACCAACGAACTAATAATACAAGCAATTAATAATAGAATGTTAAATCCCTCTAAATGAATCAATTTTACGATCGTAATAGCCATGTATTTCCAAGCGTAAAAACTTGCGTTACATGAATCGCGATCCCAGGTTGCGTCATTCAAAAATTACCTTGCGATCGTTCCTCGCGCGACACGATATACGAAGCCTAGATCGGTCGCACTATCATTTGACAATACCAGCGGCCGTTGGCCGGCACCTCCGGGTTACGTGACCGGAATTTGCGCAATAGTTACGTTCACTTTGCTCAAATAACCGAGAAACTGCACGCGCGCGTACTTGCACGTAATTTCGCGACGAGATTCGCGAGGGGGCAGCCCGGCCGGTTAACTAGCCGCATGAGCATGTGTCGCAACCCGCGGCGATCGTCTTACATAAGGAAAAATGATTTCTGTTCGCGGTCCGTATCGGAATTCGGAATCGTTACCCGGCTCCCATAGTACAGTGGCCTAGAAACCCATATTTCTCGGGCAACATTCGGTTTTTCGAAACGAATATTTTGGAAAAAATTTTCCTGCGTAAAGTCAGGGTACTCTAAACACATAAATCCAAAATATCGCTCATTTCTTGTGATTGTGTGATCCAATATAATTTTAAAGTGAAATTTATCTTTCCAAATATGCAGTATAGGTTAAGTGAAAGATTTTGAAAACACTTATATGCAGGATTATTTAATGGCATAAAGATTTATTAATTTATGTGAAAACTATGCAATGTTTATGATAAACTTTGGAAAGGATTTAAAAATGTGCTTGCGGCTACTAGATATGAGGATACCTTTACATGAAAATCTAGATATTACAGAAAGAGAGTACATATATTTTGAGTATCCCCTTGGCACTTTCATTTTTATACAGATTTTAAGAATCACGATGTTTTCGGTAAGATAGAAAATTTATATTATTGCCTTTTACATATTTAGATAACATTAAATTGGAAAATCTAGAATAATTTTATTGGAATATCTCGTGTTTTGTGATTAACATTTTAGATTCCGTATTATATATTTCTATTTCGACGTTATTTCTCATTTATATTACTCCCACTAATTATATTTTTGTCAAGAAGCAGTTAGTGCAAAGATTAAATTATTTTCCGCCATGCAAAACAAATGTCTACATCACAGGTGCACAATAATGAATCCATCTTGAATTTAATATGTCTCATGTCGGATTCGTCATCGATGACCCCAAAATCCCCTGATTACCGATGTCCATCAACTTTGCATGACTTTTGAATTTTGCCCACAAAAATCGAGTTCCCAGGCCACTGTGCGTCGGAAGGAAGAGTGTTTTCGATTCGCTCGTTCGCCGAACGGGCAGCTGGTCGTCGATCTTGCCCCAATTCGACGAAAGAATTCCAAGAAACGCGCTTCCTGGACGGCCGGTGGCGTGCCACCAGCTCCTGCGTTGTCGAATGAAAGTGGTTACGAAAGAAAAAATTCAATGGTAAAAAAAAATGGGAAAGAACCACGCACGAGAAACGACGAAAAAAAAGCAGAGCTCCTCAACTTGTCCGTATTCCGGGTTTTTTTTCTGTTTTCTCCGACTCCGCTGACGTTGCCGGAGCTGCCGCAACATTTTTTAATTACCTACACGCGCTGAGGTTATGTGCTTTCGGTACGTGTTTACGGAGATACGTAACGTGGAACACGCGACTGCCGTTCCCGTGTCTGGTTACGGTCGCTGAACGTAATTAATGCCTTCGAAATTCTGTGACGCTCGTGTATGTTTAGTCACTTTTTTCGGAATCTTGTTGCCGTACCTTTATATGCTTATGAAATTGGGATGTTTGTGGACTTTGTTAAGGACAGCTTGTTAGGTTGGATCGAAAGAGCCCTCGTCGTTAGAAAGGCAAATTTTCTATACTCATAATTCTCGTATTGAAGCTGAACGATCGCTTACAACTCGTTCGTGAGCAAACGTGACTAATCATTGTCCCCTAATTCTTTCAAATTCTAATTCTCTCGAATCCAAAAGTCTTCAATCGACCAATCGATTGACTCTTGATTTCAAACATCGTTCCCGCTTATTATCTTCAATTTCCCTGAACTCTGACTCTATTTTTCTAATTCCATCGAAGTTAATCGTTATCTTTAAATCGTCGCCATTGGTTTATCAAGATTTCAACGCAGAATTTGAACGTGAGAATTTTATCCTAGGTATATACCTGTTCCTCTTGTTTCCACTGAATCTCAAACTCCCCTGACTCTCGGTTTTCTAAAACAAATTCGTCCTTGAAGAGATCGCCTCGAGCAGAGTCATCGTCGATAAAACACGCGAGAACTCTTACGCAACACACTTTCTTCTGCGACCAGATACAACTTTTACGCAACTGTGCGTGTATTCTGACGTTCCTGTGGATACGGGGCACCGTTTCGCGACACGTAGAAATGATTTCGCTTCTCCCCTAACGGGCGCCTAGCGGTTTCTTCCCGATGAAAGGTGAAGAAAGAAAGAGATGAATGGATAGGAGAAAACGACCGGACGAGACGATTCGCGCACGATCGAGTGCACACGCCCGATCGAGAGGTTACGCAATGTGTGTCACCGTTGCATCGAAAGCGAGACTGCAACGGAACACGTGTTGCGTCAAGTGTCGGCAAGAGAAAAAATGTTCTGAACGCAGATCCTCGGTCTAATTGCGCAACACCGTTGGTATTCATAAATCGCAATCGCGGCAACCGCGTTCGCGAACGTCACCGCGCCTCGCATTATGCAACGGAACCGCAGCCTGCCGTCTCGACTGTGGCTGCTACGAATTAAATCGAGACTCACTGCGAGAATATAGAGATACTCGCGAGAAATTCTGCCGAGAAACGAAATTTCTCGGTTTTCGTTGCTTCAGAAATACGTGGAACTGATTGTTTTCAGAATTTATTCATCAATTGGAAACAATTATGGTTCTTAGTAATTAGAATGTATATAGATTGATGGACTATTTGGGAAAATTTAATTTTCCTGGAAGATGTAGCGTAACAGTGTAGAATATAACACTATTGGTGTAATTCTTTTTAATTATAAAATTGTTGTTAATGGATTTTGGTTCGATTTACGAAAGCTTATTTAATATTTGTAGATATGTATTTATTTATTAAACTTTTAAGATTTATTTCGTGTTTCGTGGAGTTTTGTAAATAAGGGATTTTTAAGGAGAATTTGGTTTGTGCTTCTATGTAGAGTTGTTGATAATCGAATTGAATGGATAAGTAGATTTTCCATATCGTTTCCAAACTTCGAATTAATCTCGACGCAAATTCTGTTGTTACGAGACACCCTGCAACGCGCAACGTTACGTCAGACGAGGAAAAGCCGAGAGAAAGCGAAGGTATGGTAATCAGAAACAGCCGCGAAACATACTTGCCGTCGCGCACTCGTGAATTATGTTCAAGACACCGTTGACCAGCGATTAATGAAGCTTGCCCTCCGCTAGTGACTGGGATCAAGTTCATCGAACGCGATTGCTTAGAATGCAGAACAATTCGAGGCTTTTCCTTGTTGGCAAACAAAATTCATTAACTTTCGTTGCGATTTATACGAAATCGAGTAGAAAGAAATTCTATTCCGTTCTGCATTCTGAATAGTTTGAATGATAATAATAGACGCGCTTGCTTAAGAAGAGTTCAAAGTAATGCTGAAAATTTCGAAATATTATTGAAGAGTATTCACAGAAAACTTGGTACACACCAAACTTTAAAATATTCAAAAGCGCATTGTATCGTTACGTAAAAATTGTGTCATCATTCCTTAACCTCTATTTTCCCACCAGCTCGTGATAAGAACTTTTAATTGAATTTGATGAGTCTAAATATTATTTACTTCGTTCGAATATAAATTAAACATTACTTTTTGATTACCGGTGGTTAGCCTCTGGAGTAAACGTAGAATAAGCATTAAACTTTTTCTCTTCAGTAAGCATAGTTGTGAAAGAAATCATAGGGCAAAGGGTTAAATTGTATACTGCAGAATAGTAAAAGGATCTTTGTTACTGAAATCATAAAAATGCTTTGCATTGAACCTGTTAACCGCGACAGAATCACAAGTCTCGATAAGTTGGCAGCGAGCCTCGCGAAACATCGTCGGAGATTAAAACGAAACTTCGTCGAGACGCCGCGAAGTTTAATAGATTTCACGGAGAAGACGCAACCGCGTGCCAGAATTCATGGGACCGCTTGAGGATAAGCTATGCAAAGCTGTAAGAAGCTTCAGCGCTCCGAAAACAGCCGAGAGACCTACGTTGCTCTCTGAACCTTCTCAGCTGAATTCTCCCCGCTGCGGAAGAATCAGTTCGCGTGACCAACTCGAGAGAGTTTTGCTTCTAATTTTAAGATAACTTTCCCCATAACTAGGAATTTTATGTTAACTTTTCACTCTTTTATCGATACAAGGTAACTTCTGTAAAATACAGTAGCTACATTTTCCTAAATAACTGCTTCCAAATTTCACGTTGACATAATCGTGACAGATGTAATAGATCATCCTATTCATCATATTGTGAAACTTTGATACATATTTTCGTAATGGCAATAAAATAGTATCTTACAAAGTAAGATAAGAAATGACATTATTTATGGGATGATCTAATATTTATCTTTCTCATTACAAAATACATTCTCTAAACTTCCTGTAGAGTATCTTTGTGTCTATATTCCAATATAAATAAACTAGTTACACTTTCCTCATAGGTTTCTCCCCACAAAATCTTCATAAATTTCGCAAATACAAGACGTGTTCGAGAAGTTCTCTGTCGTGCATGTTTCAAAGGAAGTACCTCGGTACATCGAGAACTTCTTTGATTCCGTAACCGTGCTGGGGCGAAACTGTATTATGCGGAGATCGCAGATCCCGCGAAATACATGCCAGATGCATTCTGCGGTTAGCTGCGAATAATATTTCATGCATACTGTGCGCGGAATTGCAACGAACGAAATTAAAATACTTAAAATTTATCGAATTGTTCCGCGGTATTCCGAAATATTAAATGGCGATGAAACCGAGTCAGAAACCAGTTTGGAGAACGGCAAAGTATCACGTCAGCGTTTAAATACGGAAAGAAAGTTCCCTCGCGAGACTCGCAATCGACCCTGCACCGACTTTGTGCTGCGTTCGGCTGTTCGAGGGTTAATATGCCCGCGTGGGACATAAATGGAACGCTGCACCTCCCCGCGGCCTTGTGCGCGATGCATGTTAAACGCTCAGCGAAAAGCGACGCGTGCAACTTCCAAGGAGAGTTACAATCTAACCAGCCAATAACAGGTTGATCGTGATCGGCCCTGCGAGGATCGATCCGTGATCGTCCTTGCGAGTCGCGAGAAGGACGATGCTGAACACGTTGAGTGCGAAGAGGGTCACCTGTGACCCCCAACCAAATTGCGTTACTACAGTTCACTTAATTAAACGATGACTTGAAAACGTTTCTGTATTATAAATAATGCAAGTAGATCGACGTGCAATAATAATAGTGCAGTTCAATCAAACGATTTAATATTATATTTTTTCCATTTTGTGTATTTTCGTGTATGATATCGCGCGGCATTCAACGCGTTAACACTAGATTTACGGAACGAGTCAACTTGGTTAATGAACTTTATAAGCATTATTTCGTAAATGTTGGGATTGATCTTAATTAACGGAGTTATGCAAATATGTATCTTAATTGTCTACTTTTAAACCTGTAAATTCCAAAATTTAAATGAACGAGTATCAATTTTTCCGAGGAGGATAGAACAAAGTGTACAGTAAATATTTGTAACACTTCGCTCGCGGAAACATTAAAAGTACTGCCTGCAGAGCCCGTCAAAATGGCGGGTTTCAATCTTTTTATTCCGCAATTATTGGTATTTTAAAAGCGTAAAATATCCGAAATGATTTGAAAAATAAATAGCTTCGTATGAATACTATATTGAAAATGTGAAGAAACCGGAAAGAATCTGTTATAATTTTTAAAGGAGTACACATTAATCGTATTAAACGCTTGGTAATTCTAGAGTTAATAAACTTCCTAATAACTAGGTTACATAAAAAAGCATTGCATCAGATGATGCGCATAGTACGAAATTGTGAAATGCATTATGGGAAAAGAACAATTTTCTTTTATGTAATGATCTTAAGAGATATCGTTGCGTTACGTTGCACAAGGTGATTGACTAGTTTACGACTACAACTATTATGGTCATTGAAATGCTTATGAAGAAATCCTTTGCTGTCGAACATTGATTTTTCAAAGATTCAACGCGGCAGATCCTAGAACAGAATCAACGAGCGGTATTTCTCGGACACATTTTCTCTACTCGCCAGGTTTTGCATTATTTAGAAAGCTTTCAGTCACGGGAAGCTCGGCCGTCGAACCGTCCGATAATGTTCATTCTATCCCCAGCGAGAGAGTAATCCTTCCAGGTAAATAAAAGCTTCTCGTTGCTTTATTCTTCCCTGTTTTATTTGTAGCACGTTCCACCTTGCTTTTTTCGGTGCACAATGCATCATCCTTGGCAACCTGATATTTTTCTCATGGACACGTTCCGTCTGATAGCCATGTTCCTGAAGGTTCACCTCGACCTCCCGAACATTTTATTTTCTTTCGACGTTAACGAGGTTCGCGATGTCCAAACAGCCACACAGAACGTTCAGTTGCTTCGAGCTCTCGCGAGTAAACGATTCAATGCAGTACTCAGTTTCGATTGAATTCAATGCTTGCGAAGCTGCAGCTAGATTTATTACTTTATTCTATGCACCGAAAGTGAATTGAAACAAATAAATATCAAATTTTAACAAACGCTACTCAATATTCTCACGGAAGACGCGAAGCTTCGCAGGTCGCCTACAATATGCATCAACAGATTTATCATTTCCTCTAATTAAAATGAACTTTCCGTTCTCTCCGGCAATGCATCGAACTATTCACTTTCGCGACTGACTATTCACGGCTCGTAACAGAGTGCACAGGAACGCATGAAATATTTCATTCCGGAGCCGAATTCCGGGCGGATTCGTCCTTTTTCACCTGCGATTTCGACGAGTCACCGGATCTAGTGATACGCGCGCCGATCTCGCGATCGGACAAAACGGCCGGCGGGACAAAAGGAAGCGGAATTCCGAATTTTTGCGATTCACGCGTTCACGGGTCAATGAAACTCTCGTTCGCCCGTATCGGCCGGTTGCACGTGCGCCGCGAACGTATTACGCAAGATCATCGGAAGCCTTAAAGCGCCGGCACGTGAAAGTGGTCCCGGTATCGCGTTGCATTCCGCTCGAATGCGGGCTACGGCCGATGCATCTAGCTGCAGTCGGCGAGATCGATTTTATCGGGTCTGGCTTCGGCCTACCGACCAGCCACTACTGATGAATCGCGCTCCATTTACAATCATACATTTACTTAACCCTTCCGTCGCTGAATATGTAGTCTTTCCCATAAATCGAGGAGAGGGCCAAGAACAGCTGCTATCAGGTGGAATTGAAAATTGTTTTCAGTGAAAGAAATAAGATACGCACTAATAATAAGAATAATTAGTAAGAGTGGGAACGAGTCTTGGAAATTTAATAAAAGTAAAATTCCCGCGGATGC